AGCCAGCTAGGAAGGGCGGCACAATGGCAGGAAAGGGAGCGGGGCGAGTGTTTCGGCAGGCTCACCTGCTATCCTGTGCCACCCCAAACCCCTCCTTGAGCATGGCTATAACCCTCCCGGGTGGGCCCCGTCCCCACCACCGGCGCTGGGACAGGGTGGGGGTCACGGCGGCGGCGGGAAGCGCCGTAACAGGATACTCCCACTCGGCCGAAAAACATCCCCAGGAAACATCCCAATGCGACGGCGAGCAGAGATGGCCCCGCCAGGGAAAGCAAAAACACAGCGGAGCTCTGATTTTGGGGGCAGAAAACACCATTCTAGGCAGAGACCAATGAGGCTGGGAGTGGGGCCCTCACCAAGAACATCGCTCCGGCCCCAGATCTTTCCCGGTGAGGCCGGACGCTGGCAGCCCATGGGGTTTTTTGTTTGTTTGTTTTTTTTCCTTGCCACCCTTGGCCCTTTTTAAGCCGCTTTCCCACTGCTCGGGGAGGAATTAACCTAATCCCCTTTTGTGCGGGGACAAAGCTCCCACCGCCACGATAATTGCTCGCCCCAGCCACGCCGGGAAAGGGTTCGGCCGGCAGAAAAACTGGGTGCTGGGGCGTTGCAAACAGCCGAGCCAGGATCCGGCCCTGCAGGCTCCCCTGTCGCTGGCTCCAGGTGCCTGGAGGGGAGCAAAGGGCAGCGGCGGTGGGAGCCAACACGGCTCTGCCCACGCCGCACTTTGCCCCACGGAAAGGCTGGTCCCAGGCAGAAAACCCTCCTGTAACCCCCGCCCCGCTCCTGCTGTTTGCCAGGACCTGAAATACCCATTTTTTCCCCCCTAAAACACACATGAAGCCCTACCTGGAAGCCGTTGGGGTACCCATCGCCTTCGCCGATGGAGTCCAGGGGGTCTTCATCATCCAACGTCGCCCGCTTGTAGGTCGACATCTGCACGGGGAGATCGGCAAATGGAGGTGCTCAGCGGCTCCGGGTCAAGGAAGAGGAGGAGGAAGGAGGGCGAGGAAGGAATACGCACCCCCTAAAGCCGCCTCCTCCTCCGGGGAGCCAAATCCCGAATGGCTCCGGGGTGGTAAAGCGCTAAACAAACGCCGGAGGAAGGTGGGAGCGTGCAAGCATGCAATCCTGCAAGCATGCGATTGTGCAAGCGTGCAAGCGTGCAAGCACACAATGTTGCAAGCGCACAATTCTGCAGGCATGCGGTTGTGCACATGTGCAAGCACGTGGCCGTGCAAGCACACGGTTGTGCAAAGATACAAGCATGCGATTGTGCAAGCATGCACTTGTGCGAGCATGCGGTTTTGCAAACAGCCAAGCACGCAGTTGTGCAAGGGGGCACACATGCAATTTTACAAGCATGCACACGGGCAACTGTGCA